GCATTCAGCACCCCCTGCATCCAGCAGTACCTCATTACTCCTCCTGCATCACCTGCACTTTTTGTATCCACGCTACCCCATATGCTGCAGCCCTTTGAATCCCCAATACCGCCCACTCTGTACCCTCTGCATCCTTCATTACCTTCTCCTATGCACCCCTTGATCATATGTGGGCTGTTCCCATCTCTGATATTTGGGGTGAAGGCTCATCTGGAGGGGGTGCACGTGCTGGTTCCCCTTTTGTAGTGGTTGCCGTGATGCCTAAAACTTACAAGCTCCGCCTAGACTCACCCCCTACATGCCAGGTGCAGGGGATTCTGGGAGTAATAGATAGAGAGGGATAGAGAGAGGAGATGGGGACCAGAGAATGGAGGACTCTGCCCACAGGAAGTTCATTCGTGGACCCGATCCTCCTGCTGACCTAATGGAGCCCGGTACAGGAGCGAAGCCTGTACCCCCTCCCCATGGTGGCCATGTCTGTTATCACCTCTAATATACAGACTCTTTATTCTGAAATATCTACCTAGACCTTCTCAGCCGGATTTCATTTATATTTCATAGAATGTTATTAAAGATTATTGTCATAATCATTTATCCAATGCAAGTTCTATCGATTTTCATTTGTTTTATATAATTGTACTTAATGAGATCAGTGTCCTCTGTACAACACTCCGGTATATATCAGAGCTATATAAATGTATAATAATAGTGTGTGACTGTGGGGGGACATTAGAGTGTAAGCTCCTCTGTACAGAGACTGATGTGACTGTGGGGGAGGGGACATTAGAGTGTAAGCGCCTCTGTACAGAGACTGGTGACTGTGGGGGGACATTAGAGTGTAAGCTCCTCTGTACAAAGACTGATGTGACTGGCTCAGTGTTCTCTGTACAGCACTGCGGTATATGTCAGTGATATACAAATGGATGATAAGAGGGGGTGTCTGTAGTGAGTTCTGAGGTAAATCTCTGTGGAGAGCAGAATCTGCCCAGTGACTCTGATCCCGCCCTGTGATAGGTTACTATGGAGGGAGTGCAGCCAATGACAGTGGAGGAGATGTGAAATCTGAGGTAAATCTCTGTGGAGAGCAGAATCTGCCCGGTGACTGAGCCTGCTCTGTGATTGGTTCCTGTGGAGGGAGGGCAGCAAATGGCAGTGGAGAAGATGTGAAGCGGGGCCTCTGATTGGCTGTGAGTCTCCCCTCAGCTCCTTCTGTCAGTCACTGAAGTCTCCATCTTGTTTTACATTAGTGACAGAAGTGATGGAGGAATAGGGGGGAGGGGGTTCTGTTAACTTCTTCTTAATGTCAGTTCCTACCTGCGTGTGACTCCACTTCCCGTCTCTTCCACTCTCAGTAGAAGAGAGATCATCGGCTCCTGGACAGTGTGAACTCTGCGTCCTCCAATAAAGTCCAATACTGAGAGACAACCAATGCGCTCCTGGTAATCTCTATACATTGTAAATAGGGGGAGGGGGACACTGTATATGTGGGTGCTATGAGGTGGTGGGGCACAAACTCTGTATATGTGGGGTTAGGGGAAGACTCTGTATGCGACAGCTATGGGGTGGGGACACTGTATATGTTGGTGCTATGCGGTCGGGGGTGGTCATATATATAATATAAGGCTATAAATCCTGATTGGACTCTATGGTTTAATACATTTATTACATTGGTTCATTCGGCATCCTGGAGGATACATCCATATACTCATTTTTCTGCAGAACATAATAATAATAACACACAGACCGGCCTCCGATAATTGTTATTTTATTGCTCGTTTCTTGCCTGTGCATTACAAGAGTTGTTTTTTTATTGTCACAATTACTTGCCCACGTGGACAGATAGTAGACTCGGGTTTTATTTCACCCCCGGCCTTTTTAAGACCATCCCACCATTAGCTCAGTTTAGCCACACCCACTATTTGGCACCAGGCCCCACTTTGCTGCTTCCCTCCGGGGCGCAGAGGAGGCAGGGAGAATACAGGGACTTATTTTGCACAATTGCCAGTGTCTTGCCCACATTTTGATGATACAGTCTGTGTGGGTATTGGAGTATGATTGAAATATCCCCTTTTCCGGGATGTACCCCTTTATGAACTACATTTTATCCTCCAATAGGTCCAAGGACTAAACCTTTTAAAAAACATCGTACATTTTAATAAAAGAATCAGCAGTTCTGTTCTCTCTGATGTCTATTTAGACTTCTTTCTGTAAAACATTTCCTGCAGTTTGAACGCGCTGAGGACGTCCACCCATGCGTCTTCTGACGTGCAAGAAGCAGCTTTTTCTCCGTGAAAGATTTCCCGCACTCTCAACATGAATAAGAACGCTCACCCATGTGAATACTCATGTGGTCATTAAATGTTTCTTTCCGTGTGAAACATTTTCCGCACTCTGAGCATGAATAAGGACGCTCACCCGTGTGAATTCTTTGGTGTCTAACAAGGTCTCCTTTGTGAGTGAAAGATTTCCCACACTCTGAGCATAAATTAGGACGCTCACCTGTGTGAATTTTCTGGTGTTTAACAAGGGCTCCTCTTTCAGTGAAAGATTTCCCGCACTCTGAACATGAATAAGGACACTCACCCGTGTGAATTCTTTGGTGCTTGATAAGGTCTCCTTTCCCCGTGAAAGATTTCCCGCACTCTGAACATGAATAAGGACGTGCACCCGTGTGAATTCTCAGGTGTCTAACAAGGTCACCTTTCCGAGTGAACCATTTTTCACACTCTGGACATGAATAAGGATGCTCACCAGTGTGAATTCTCATGTGTACAACAAGCTTCCCTTTCTCAGAAAAACATTTCCCGCACTCTGAACATGAATAAGGACGTTCACCCAAATGAATTCTCTGGTGCTTACGAAGGTTGCGTTTGGCACCGAAACTTTTCCCACACTCTGAACATAAAAAAGGACGCTCAGCTGTTTGAACTAAGTGTCTAAGAAGGTTTTTGTCTTCAGCTAAAGATTTCTCAAACACCGAACATGAGAAAAGATCCTCACCTCCGTAATCTCCTTCATGGGGTGAGGAAGATTCTTTGGGATTAGATGGGTCTGTTGCACTGTGAGATCTTAGATGGATATTTCCAGTCATAGTATGTGAATGATCAGAAGATTCACCCTGATCAGAGGGATCCATTGATGTCTCCAAACAATGAGGTCTGTGGTATATATTTTGTGTATATGGATTCACTCCTGGAGAATCCTGTGTGATGACATTATCTTCTGAGTGCCAGTCAGCAGATAATATAAGATGTCTCTCCGAGGTATTCCTGACATCACATCCATCTGCTGGAGAGAAATTATTACACACGTCAATAATCAGAGTCATGTATGTTGGTCTAGAAGTCATCACAGAGCTCTGGCATGGAATTGGGTCCAATTGTAACCCCAAAATATGAAAAACAACCAGATAAAGGAGACAAAACCCCCAAAACACCTCTGACCCCCTGGAGACCATTGTACTGCTCAATAATGACTGCTATGGGGGGGATGGAGATGGACCTTCATATGGTGTACAGTATCTCCTCCTCATTTGTCGGTCACATGACGTTATATTGAGGAATGGAGATGGACCTTCATATGGTGTACAGTATCTCCTCCTCATTTGTTGGTCACATGACGTTATATTGAGGAATGGAGATGGACCTTCATATGGTGTACAGTATCTCCTCCTCATTTGTTGGTCACATGACGTTATACTGAGGAACGGAGATGGACCTTCCATATGGTATAATGTCTTCATCTCATTTTTGGGAACATCGAGCAATATGGCACAAAGATAAAATACTTATAATGGAGACTGGCCTACCTTAGGGTTTCCATTATCTTCTCTTCATCTTGCTATGAGCATTAGGTGGTTGGGTGGGGAGATCAAAGATGTTTTTATGTCAACAACAATGGATTTCTTTATCATCCATTGAGGGAGGTTGGAATAGAAGGTTTTCTTAGACAAATACGGTAAGTTACAATGTTGCCCTCAAGAGTTTGAGACATTGGCAAGCAGACAATGCTAAGCCAGCCCCCTGTATAACCCGCACCTCCAATCTTCATGTCTCAGTTTTCGGCTATCAACATACTCGGTACTCCAACGTCGGGAGTCAGAATGTCTATCATGTTGCTGGAGCTGGTCTCTATACAACAGCTATCCAAATTAGCGATTTCTCGAGCAGTAGCTTTGGAGACTGTACCTGGACCCCACTGGCTAGCTTGGAATGGGACCTTCAGACATTGGGCTCTTCTTGTGGAGCTTTCCAGATCCTAGTGTACTGTGTTAGCCACATGGTGCTATCTAAGGCCAGAGTTGTGGCACGGCCTCTGTTGTGACCCTGCCTATGAAGGTCCATGAACAGGGCAGAGATATCCTGAACCTTTGGGTACTAGACTTTGTATTGTGGTACGTTCCAGATCCATCTGTATCAGAAGTGACATAGAACTGTGACCTGTTCCCTCCATGGTGTCTGTTACTTACTTGTGTTGATCGGTAGAGAAATGTCATCCTGATCACTTTTCATCATCATCCCGACCTCCTCCGTGGATGGCCGGTCACCCCCCACATACGTCTCCACTTCTTCCTCTTTAATCTCAACTTTTATATTGATCCGTTCTTCACCCTAAACCCCAAAATCATAGAAAACATCTCATAAAGCTGAACTCCGGGGAGAGATAGAAGACACAAAGGAATGCAGCTCTTCATTCATTATTACATCATCACGTGTTTTATATATGTAAGCAGTGTAAGTACCTGAATGTGGCCTGGTATCAGCCTCTTGCAGTCCCTGTACAACAAAGCTCAAATTACGGGAGGGAGAAGCAGCACAAGGAGCCAATCAGCTGTGCTGCAGACTGTATCAGTATACTGCTTTTTTTATTGTCCAATCACAGGCTGGTCGAGGGACAAGACTGGTTATTTGTTACTGTCCAGAAGTAAAGAAAAATCAGGTCTCCTGCCCATTTCCTGTGAGCCCAGGGACCCGGGGCCTCCTTATCACGCCAGCCTGGACTCAAAGGAACCAAGGACAGGACTATGTCATTCCCCGTGCACCCACCTTTCCAGGAACCTCACTATGTCATTCACTATGCATCCACCTTTCCAGGAACAGGATCCATGATGTCATGTGACTGGACCCAAGGTTCAGGAAATACATTGATATTCTAAAAACTAGGGGGTGCTTAAGGGGACGCTGGGAACGGGTGGCAGAGGCCGCATTTCATACGTAAAACAACAAAAAAATACTCCATAGCAGAACGTCAGCTCACACAGTTCACAATGACTTCTGTGTCCTGTACACATGGTGGGGGATGGTCATGGTGGGGGATGGTGTGACCTTCCTGTGTGGAATCCCGGGAATACAGAGGACGGGGACATCTCTCTGGTGGGCTTGTGTCATGGAATGGTGTAATGATACAGTCACCATCCAGACACACCCCTTGTCTGTTCCTGGATCATGTCCCAGAATTCCCGGCACCGCTCACCTCTCCCGTCAGCAGCTCAATTATCTTGTTTGCGACTTCCACAATTTTCTTGTCATTGTTCCTCTCGGGTTTCATGGAGTGAGGTGAAGGCACTGTGATGGTTAGATGGTCACCAGACTTCACCGGAGGAAAACTCTGTTTCAAAAGACCAACACTTATGTCACATTAGGTTCCCAGAATCCTCCTCACCTCTCCGGTCAGGTCTGTGTTTTATAAATGGAGATCAGAGTGATGTCATGTGACCTCCCAGAATCCTCCTCTCCTCTTCGGTCAGGTCTGTGTTTTATAAATGGAGATCAGAGTGATGTCATGTGACCTCCCAGAATCCTCCTCTCCTCTTCGGTCAGGTCTGTGTTTTATAAATGGAGATCAGAGTGATGTCATGTGACCTCCCAGAATCCTCCTCTCCTCTTCGGTCAGGTCTGTGTTTTATAAATGGAGATCAGAGTGATGTCATGTGACCTCCCAGAATCCTCCTCTCCTCTTCGGTCAGGTCTGTGTTTTATAAATGGAGATCAGAGTGATGTCATGTGACCTCCCAGAATCCTCCTCTCCTCTTCGGTCAGGTCTGTGTTTTATAAATGGAGATCAGAGTGATGTCATGTGACCTCCCAGAATCCTCCTCTCCTCTTCGGTCAGGTCTGTGTTTTATAAATGGAGATCAGAGTGATGTCATGTGACCTCCCAGAATCCTCCTCTCCTCTTCGGTCAGGTCTGTGTTTTATAAATGGAGATCAGAGTGATGTCATGTGACCTCCCAGAATCCTCCTCTCCTCTTCGGTCAGGTCTGTGTTTTATAAATGGAGATCAGAGTGATGTCATGTGACCTCCCAGAATCCTCCTCTCCTCTTCGGTCAGGTCTGTGTTTTATAAATGGAGATCAGAGTGATGTCATGTGACCTCCCAGAATCCTCCTCTCCTCTTCGGTCAGGTCTGTGTTTTATAAATGGAGATCAGAGTGATGTCATGTGACCTCCCAGAATCCTCCTCTCCTCTTCGGTCAGGTCTGTGTTTTATAAATGGAGATCAGAGTGATGTCATGTGACCTCCCAGAATCCTCCTCACCTGTCCGGTCAGCAGATAGATGATCTCCAGGGTGAGGGTCAATATCCTCTCTGTCGTGTGACCCGGGTCCTCCTCCATCCTTATGGATGTGATCATGTGATCCATACAGGTCTCTGCGCTCTGTAGACGGAGAATTTACCGGCCTCGCCGATCATTATCACTCACAGACAGGTACAGATTGATTCCGATCCCGCTTCCCAGTCGTGGGAGGTTTAGAATGGCGTCACATTGTTAAATACACAACACATATATCGATCCTCAAACCCGCGGGTCCAAAACAAGAAAAAAATAACTACAATACCCCAAAATTGTAAATATGAAACAAGATATAAACCTTCGCAGCTGATCTCTTCGGAGACGAAGCTCAATGACTGCTCCAAAATTACGAAACGATTGTCCTTTCTCCGGGGCGCGTGTGCGGACCTAGCATACATTCATTAGATCACAGTGACTCTGGAGGACGAGGACGGACATGACGGGGGGAGGGGGGTCACTGGGTGCAAATATAATATCTTCTTACCTCCTCTGCTGCCAGTTCCAATAATGTCTCCTCTCTACTTCCTTCCAACTCGCCTCTCACTCAGGACTTCCTGTTTATACTTCTACATCACTTCCTGTTTGCACCTGACATCACTTCCTGTGACACGCTCTGTCTTGTGTCTGTGTTCCACCATGATGCCGTCCAGATTATTTTGTAGTAGGCTGCTTGTTCCTGCCCCACCTCCGCGCCCTAGTTTGTTGGGTCTCCCGCTCTTCAGGGAGAACCCAAAGCCGTGGGAAATTACTTCAGGATTGAGAGCGGGGAGCCGACCGCAGAACGTCCATTCTCCGATCTGCTCTGTGTGATCAGTGAGTAGGGTGGCCACCTGTCCCAGATTCATCTGGACAGTCCGGGTTTTGATTCTTTTCTGGGTTTCAAGCCAGCTTCACATACAGGACTCAAAACCCGGACTGTCCATGTGAACCCGGGACAGGTGGCAACCCTATCAGTGAGACAGGAGAGCTGTACAGAAGATCGAGCACGATGCTGAGCTCAGTCTTCTGTACTGGAGGGCAGGCTCCACAAAGAGAACCGTTCCCCTCCAAACTCTATCACATAGGGGCTCGTTATCCACTATGTGATAGCAATAAAGTTAAATGAAGATTAAAAAAAAAGTAGAAAATACATAAAAAATGTAAATGTCCTCCCGTGACCCTTCAGAGAACTACGGGGAAAAACACTTACCCCCATAGTTCTCTTTTAAGCCCCTAATGGACTACACTTAAAGGAGAACTATGAGGTGAGTGATTTTCACTCATCCTCATAGTTCGGGCCGACGGCTCAATAGATCGGGAAGTGAGAGAACGCATAGCGTCGCTCGCTCACTTCTCAATCATCTCCCTGCAGAGAGCCATGACTGTTACTCACGGCTCCCTGCAGGGATTTCCCGGCTCCGATCCTCCAGCGCTGACTGGCGGAACGGACGGGGAGGGGGAGGGCACAGCTGGCTCTGCCTCTAGATAGGCAGAGCCAGCTGTCAATCACGAAGCTGGGTGGATCTCGACAGCAATGTTGGGATCCGTCCCGGCTGCGGAGTCTCAGTATATAGGGAGCTGCAGCTCTCTATATACTGAGCTTTGGGTGACGGGAGGACGCTAGTTTATGTCCTCCCGTGACCCTAAGGAGAACTATGGGGGGGAAAACACTTAGCCCATAGTTCTCCTTTTAAGCAATTAAAATTGTGGACACGAGTACGTGTAACTTACGCTTCTCATCTACTCATGGTACCCAGGTCTGGAGGGTTTATGACTGATATGGGGAAAACAAACTGTCTCTACTGATTGCTCCTCTGTGAGATCCTGCTGCTGGGTGAAAAGGCTGACTGCCCACAGAACACTAAAAAGTTTTCGGGAACCCCGTTAGTCAGGAACCGATACCAGATGAGTTATCAGCTCAGATGATCAGATGTTTTGTACTAAGGACCTGTTGTAGAAAGCCCCAAATGTTTTTGTCACCTTGCTGAATAAAAGAGCAGCAAAAAAAAAAAAAACCTGCTTGGACTGTTCCTGGATTTGCCGGTCTTGTGCATGGTTCACCGCCTCCAGTACCAGCTGACCTTGCCCCCCTTTACAACATACACTATATCACCAGAAGGATTGGGTCGCCGGCCTTTACACGCACATGAACTTTAATGGCCCCCCAGTCTTAGTCCGTAGGGTTCAGTATTGGGTTGGCTCCGCCCTTTGCCGCTATAACAGCTTCACCTCTTCTGGGAAGGCGTCCACAAGGTTTAGGAGTGTGTCTATGGGAATGTTGGACCATTTGTGAGGTCAGGGACTGATGTTGGGGGGAGGGGCTCGCAATGCGCTGAACCCGCTCCTGTCATGTGACGTGGCCGACCACTTCCTGCTGTTGTTCCCAGTTGCTTCCACTTTGTTATAATCCCAGTAACAGGTGACCGCGGAATATTTAGTGGCAAGGAAATGTCATGACACCTGAATCCAATGATTTGGAGGGGGAGGGGCCCAATACTTTTGGTAATATAGTGTATGTACTCGGGTAAGAATGTCTACCAGCCATGAGCGTTCACTTTGCCACTTATCTACTGTGCAGGAACCTTTGCCAATCCGCCACAGTCTTCTTTTTCCTGCAGTCCTCTACATGTATCGCTGTCATATCAACAGAAAGATCAAATCACACATTCCCGCATATTGTGTACAATTTTATTTAACTACACTTTGCAGGTTATCGACATACATTACTTCAAATACATGGGGCCCCGCCCACTTACATCATTCATACGTGTCCAGGATTATTGCGGAGACGGATTATGTATGTGGGGCTGGAACTGCCAGGTCTTACTTCCTGTATTTCTCTTTTAGATTTATAGGAATAATATAATCGTCAATATACAAAAGGAGCGATTATTGTATCTCCGGCAAAGAACAAAAAAAAATGTAAAAGTATAATTTGGAGAACTGTGACCAGGAATGAATGTAGTATGAAGCTCTGACCGGTCTCTTTACACTGCGCCGAAGACAAGTCCCCAGACCACACATTGTTCCTTCCGTAGACAGCTCTCCTCCACCATCCACACTACATTCTCTGACAGCTCTCCTCCCACCATCCACACTACATTCTCTGACAGCTCTCCCCCACCATCCACACTACATTCTCCGACAGCTCTCCTCCCACCATCCACACTACATTCTCTGACAGCTCTCCTTCCATCATCCACACTACATTCTCTGACAGCTCTCCTCCACCATCCACACTACATTCTCTGACAGCTCCCCCCCCCCCCCACACCACCACATCTTACCTCCAT